TAGTGTGCCCGCCCACCTGCAGGACCTCCTGGATCGGGGAGCCGCCCACCTGGACGGCAGGGAACGCGCACGGCTGGCATGCCTGCTGATAGAGTTCCAGGGTGCCTTCACCGGGCCGGATGGCAGGCTCGGCCAAATCGACTGGGTCCACCACCCAATCAACACAGGGACGACACTGCCCATCCGGCAACCTCCTCGGCGTGTTCCAATCCACAAGCGGTTGGAGGCCCACAGGCAGGTGGACCAGATGCTGGTGGATGGGGTAATTGAACCGTCGCACAGCCCGGGGTTTTCACCAGTGGTCCTGGTGCGGAAGAAAGACAGGTCTGTCCGCTTCTGCGTGGACTACCGGCAGGTCAATGCAGCCACCCTGAAGGATGCCTACCCCTTCCCTCTGGAAGTCCGCATGGCGGAGGATGATGAGAAGACTGCTTTTGGGATGCAGAGCAACCTCTACCAGTTTTCCGGTGGCAGGTGGCCGTCGTCTACCTGGATGACGTGATAGTTTGGGGGGGACCTTTGGGGAGCACTACCAGAGGCTGGTCACGGTGCTGGGGGGGGTTCCAGACCGCCGGCCTCAAACTGAAACCCAAGAAATGTGACTTTTTCAAGACGGAGGTGTCCTTTTGGGCCACTCGGTGTCAGACGGATCCCGCTAAGGTCGCAGTGATCCATGGTTGGCCAAAGGTTGACGAATGTGACGCAGGTCCAGAGCTTCCTGGGCCTGGCGTCATATTATCGGCGGTTTATCGCCTGCTTCGCCAAGATTGCCCAGCTCCTTCATGCTTTGACCAACAAGAGCCAGAGGGAGTTTGTCTGGACAGATGCCCGCCAGACGGCATTCAAACACCTGCAGGTACCCTAGCTACGACACCAGTGTTGCGATATCCGGACCCAGGGAGGCGCTAAATCTTGGATACCGATGCCAGCAACTGCTCGATCGCGGCCGTCCTCTCCCAAGAGGGGGAGCACGGAGAGCAGGTTAGTGGATTCTGCTCCACACTAACTCCTGAATCTCCCTCTGTTTCTCTCCCCAGGATGGACAGGTTGGTCTGCCCCTACTGTCAGCGGGAATTCCGCCAGCTGACCAACTTGCGGTGACACCTGAGGTCAGCTTGTCCGGAGTTGTTTGCCGCCCCGCCCTATACTTGTGAGCAGGGGTGTGGCCGCTGCTTCTACTGCTCGGATCAGCACCACCGACGCTGCGACCACATCCTCGTCGGCCAGGTCCGGGAGGAGGATCCTGACATTCTGGAGGTCTTCGCCAGTGATGGGGAGTTGGGGGGGTGACAAGTTGCCAGCCCCCCCCCCGCCTGCCCTCCGGAGGGAGCTGCCCGGACCCGCCCCCGGTCAGCTGCTGCGGGTGAGCCCTTGTCGCTGGTGCCCTCTCAGCGCTGAAGGCAGGGGTCGCGGAGCCGGTCAGATCGACGAGACCAGTCGGACTTGCTTTCCAGTGCGGCCCCGGGCCCTCGTGGCGGCCGCCGCAGCCGGAACCGCCCCCCTGCGTCACTCAGTAGAGACGGGGACGCACACTGAGGCAGCCCCTGCACTGAGCAGGGGCCACCGGAGTCTGCCCCCCGGCTCCTGGGTGACGTATGTGGGGGGGTCCCCTTGGGACTGGGGGTGCGAGCCACCTTGCAGAAGGAGCGGGCCACCAGAGATGCAGACACCATGATGGACCTGCCCCTCTGTGAGCATCACCACAGCCTTTGGTGGTTGGAGGTAGCCCCCGCTGGCCTGGACCGCCGGGGTCACCGCCAATTCCGGGATGGTTCACAGTTATGAAGTCCAGGGCCGGATGTTGTACACCTTCGGCAGTGAGCCATATGTGCAATACAGTGTTGACGCCGACAACACCGGGCAGCCGTCCCTGGGGGGCTTCTTACCCCCGGAAGCACCGCCTCGGACCCGGTAGCCAGAGCAAGTCCCGTGGCAGTTCTGGGACCAGCTGTTCCGGCGGTCGGAGGTCCAGCGGGAGCCCCCTCCACCACCCACCGGAGTCCACCCCCCGGAGCAGCGAGGCTATGCCGGGCGGCACCATGGCGACCGGAGTCTCCTCCACATTGGACCCCTGAATCCCCCTCGTGGTAGCAGAGAAGACCTGTGGAACCATGTATTTGTTGCTTTGTTATTCCACTTCCCTGAAAGCTGCGCAGGGGCGACCGGGATGGCCTCGGGCTGGCCCGCCAGGTTGGACCGCCTTGTTCGGGGATGAACAACAGTCCTCGGATGGGGCGGTGTAGCGCTGGCGGGTCCGGCTGGTGGGGGCGCCAGCTTGGACCCGCGTGGAGCTAGCTGGCTGCCCCCGCTGGTATGCGAACGGCCCACAGTTTTCCCGCCTCGCACCTGTGCAGTCCCCGCCTAGACACCTCGTGTCTAGAGCTTGTGTACGTAAAACAGTTTTGTTGACGTCGGGAAAATAAACAGAGGTTTCTTGCCCGGATCGGCGATTTGTGGTTGACTGTGTGCTTCTGTGACAGCATCAGAGCCCAATAAGTAGGACATACTACAATAAAGTGTTTATCCATTTACCTATTGAGACAGACAATTCGGATTGGATGAGAGTCTGTCACTAAGATGAATTCAGTCTACTGTCTAAACGGCATTGAGAGTTGACATGCCTAGCTGTGACCGACACATTTTTGAAATCCAACTAATACTAGGTTTCATGTTTGCTGTAACAAATACAAGGTGATTGAATGGAAGTTTTGTTAATGTAGTTAAGTAAATAAAAGAGTGATGGGGCAGATTTACAAGTGTTTATTTCATTTTGGTTCACTGCATTTTTCACATCGTATCATCAAACATTTAAAACGGAGCTTCGACTGGCCAAAAGACGACAAATCATATTCAACATTTTCAAGAACTCTACATTTGATGTCACGCTGGCTGGCGTCAATGAAACATCCTAGCTCTCTCACAATAGCTGAGAGGGGCTAATAGCCTATTGTGGTGAAACAGGGTAGCTGCACAGACTTGTGTTTAGTCTGGGTCATTAATAATTCAGGCGCGTCTAATTCATGCATTAAACATGTGCACGGCAACCAATCAGAGGCGCGCATTATCTTAGGTCTGGGTGCTTGCTGCGTGGGTTGCCGGAATTTCTCAAGATGGCAGCGTGCTAACCAGAGTTCTGTTTCATGTTCTGAATTTCGAGTGAAAATCTGACGTACGACCGCTGGTGGTTGGGGATCTACCTCAAGTGTACCTGATGCGATCAATTAGTGTGGTGCTTGTTCTCAGTTGCCGGAGCTGCCAATTATGTCAGATCTCTTTGAAGATTGGGGAATTGTTAGACAGTCTTGTTTATTTAAGAAGTGGTAGATTATAGGGTTAGGGAACCCGTGTGAACCAGTTAATTGGGGAATTAGCGAAGCTTAGATTAGAAGGATTGTGTGCCGTTGTTCCATGCTTATTGGCATAGCGACGGTTGGTTGCAGTCCTGGTCTGGGAGCTTGCTTTCCTCGTTGAGGTTTACTGGGAGCAGGTTTCCGTTAGAGTCTGGTGAGGACTATTATAATCGACTTCTTAATCAACTTACCTGTGTTATTTCATAATAACTTGAAGTGGGTGAGGGTGATTTAAGTCACCTCAAACCTTTTGCAGTTTAGGAACTGTGTTGCTTTGTAAGGCAGTAGAGATTATTGTTGTATAAGTCTACCTTGTTGTATAAGTCTACCCTGTTGTGTTGGATAATTACGAAGATTGTATTTGCTTGTGTGGTCAAGACTTATCAGTTATAAACTATCGGTAGATTATTTATTTAGACTTGAGGGTTACCCTGATCACTGTGAGGGTTACCTGGTTATTGTGAGGGTTACCCTGATCGCTGTAAGGGTTACCCTGATCACTGTGAGGGTTATTCTGGTGTAGGTTAAGGATAAGGCTTATTAATCACGTTCGTGGTGCAGTTGACCACGTAAAACTACCTCCCCCTGAGGATAATTTTGTATATTGTTAATTGTTGTTGTATATAACGGATAACTGAGCTCTGACATTGAATAAACCAATCATATAATTGCCTTAGATATCACTGGTCACTGTGAGATTTAGTAAGTCCTGTATCACTTGTATTGACACTAAGTGTAATCTTTATTGACATTGGGATCAATTATCTAATCACAGAGCGGTGGTAAACTTCCACCAAACGAACAGCCCCTAAGGCATAGTCCACCGTTCATTAACTGATATCCCCCCTTGCGTTTGGATAGCCGCTCATTCTTGCGTAAGGTTTAATAAATATATTTGTGGGGTTAGGCCAGGTCAATTCTATCTCCGATCAGGCCAGTCTGCTGGTCTGCCACAAAAAGGTGTCACTATTCACAATGCCCACAAATTCAAGAAGGGCTTCTGTCAATTTGGCTTTAAATCCCTAAAATCCACATGAATACCACAGGGGCAGTTCTGTGAATCAAACTATAAGCCTCATGCTGCGGAGCGTTTCCACTGCCTTTCCATTCCCAATTCTTTCCATTTCCTTTTCAAAAATACAACACAATCTCCCCTTGTTGTCCACTAAGCCAATACTACTCCTTATTTCTCTAGCCTAATTTCCTTTCCACTGTTAAAATATTCCTTTCCTCAAACTGCAATTGCAATCTTATCACACAGCCCTCAGTCAATCTTCACTCTTCACAGGTCACTCTTCAAAGGTCTGCAGTGAGAAAATTGGCCTTCCGCAAATGTGCTACCAAAGTATGGCTGTCGCCAGGATTTTTCCAGGGGGGTCCTAGGGGGACAACACATTCATCAACAGCAAATTGCTTGACCATAAATGGTGCACCAGTGTCAATTCCAAGTTATTTTCAAGCAAGCTGATGATTTTCATCCCCTCTCCCTCTTTTGCATGTCTTTCGCTCTTTTTTCCCCACTTTTTGTTTCAATAAAAACAAAATTACTGACCCACCAAGTCTATTTCTAACCACTATTTAATTGTCATTCAAGTTATTGGAAACACAATTTTTTTGTCCTGATTACGGCAAACAAAAGTACCAGTTTACCTTTCTCTGGTCCAACTGTGAGTTATGAAGCAAAGCAGGTTGCATTGTGGGATACAGCTTCACCATGACACCAGTCTCCCTGTGAATAAACACAAAGCAAAATCTGAAACACAGGCTCGGTCACACAAGTTCTTGTTAATACTTTTGTTTATACATTCAGCACAGTGACATGTCAAGTGTATAAAAAATAAACATTCTATATAGAGTACCGAAGTCTGACATCACTTTGAACCAGGAAGTGCGATGCAAACCAATAGATTACGCGTGTATGTTGGTTCACACACTGATTTTCGTGCTGATGCCTTTTGCACACATAACTTGCGTGACATATTTACTTCGGAACTCTATATGCAAATAATCTCAAATACACTATCTGAACCACCTAATACACAAGGGTGGAAACCAGAACCAAATTTTGCACTTTGCACAGAGATTCCTTTATTTTTATGCAGTCAAGAAAACCAGTGAAAACACTCATTCTACGCTTGCTTTGGGTTGATGGTTTCCTTTCACTCATCTACTTCCTCATGCTACGAATCACTCTAACCCCAAAACGCCTCTAAAACTGTTTTCCAGAAAGAGGATTAAGCTTTTGTGGACCCAGCTTAGTCCACACAACGTTGCACAACCGGCATTATGTGGACCTCTTTATTCGCAGGCCCAAAATAAATATCCATGTATAATGGCTGCTTAGTATTGGCAATTACACGTACACTCGTGCTGAAATATACTTGTTGTCAGAACCAACACGTTACGGGCCACATTTTTGTATCCACAATTATGGTCTTAAATTTCCTGACAAAAGAAGCTGTCCCCTAAATGTGGTAACGGCCTGGGTACGCTCACCTGACTTCTGTGATTGTGGCAACATAGATAGCACCAAAGTCAAGCTGTGGCTCTTTCTGTGAATGGAGGACAAAAATCCACCAAGAAAATTAAAGCACAGGTTTAGTGCATCCATCCTCTGATGCTGTCTTCCAGGCATTCTATAATCACTCTCCCTCCTCATCAGATACATGAAAAACTTCTACATGTGGGACCATCAACCAACTCTTTATGGAGCATGAATCCCATGTGAGACCAGCAGATGTCACTGCATGATCATCCTACAGAGTTCTGACATGCGGCAAACACTAGTATGATTTCCTATACCAGGGGACAACGCATTGTGTTTCCTAGCAGTCCTAGGACATGAAACTCTGCCATAGACTACGCACAGGCACTTTGGGACTGATTTGATCAGAAGAGAAGGGGGAAAATAGCTGTGGGATCTTTGTAATCATCATCATTGATAGGATTCTGACCCCAGATGACTTCCTGACAAGCGACATTTAGTGTGAATTCAGAGACTACGAATCTCACATCTTCCTGCAGCAGTTGTTCTATTTTCTCCTTGGCTTCGTCCATGGCGCTGGGCGTCGGCGCAAAGATGGAAAAGTTACTCTCGTCCAGCTGTGTGACTGTCACACCTGAGAGGGAACGGTAAAACTCTCAATAAATACTTGTTGAATGCAGGGCCATGGGGATACAGCATTTCCATTTTGATGCTGGAATTAACAAAGTAAAATAAAAGCGCATTACATTTCATCACGCAAAAGCCAAAACAAACCTAATATGGCCCTTTTGCATCTGATACACTCATATCACACTTGCCTGGTACCAACACACTCATTCGCATTACCTGAGGGGAAAAAACCTCAATTTTCCCATGTACTGAACACCCACTGAAGCTGGAGTTTTGACAATTTCACTGGATGTCCCTCTTAATTTCGCCACAGACAACCCTTACCCCAGAACCCCTAACACTATATGGAGAGAAGGAAAACATTGTGTGCACAGTGTGAAACAATCTTCGAAACCCCGCAATATGTGGACCTTTTTCGTTCTCCCCTCCACACGGGTTATGGCAAATGAACTGAAATTCTTGATCCATTAGTCATGGGGATTCCACTCCTACTGAACCATAGTTATTATGGGAATACATCAGTATGGGAATACACATCCTGTTGATCTAGTCCAAAATTTTCAAACAGCTGAGTCACACGCACACATGGATCACTGGAGCAGAAACAATCTGTCCTGCTGGCTTTGACAGTGGGACATAAAAAACAGATCAACAGCCATGACAACAGTGAACAATTTCAGTGTACAGGTATCTGGGTGTTTCATTCCTGATTGTAATCATTCAAACAGATAATTTCCACGATCATTTCACACTATACCATTTGATATTTTACACAAAAGCTTTTGTACATAAATCTGATGAATGTTCCTTTCCATCCCTTCAGTGTTATTACACGGTGGGAATACTGGAAGGTTGGATCAGTAAATTCTTGTCAACAATATAAATGAATGCAATTACCTAAACTGATTGTGCAATAAGAATTTTAATTCATGAGATAGAAATTGTGCGAGGTTCCTGTCAGTTTTAAAAAGTGCTTGTTTTCCAGTGCTCAGTGTTTTCAAATTTCATATTCCAAACAGACAAGAATGGTACACCAGCACATCTTGTCAGTGTTCCTGTCATCAGAAATCCAGCTGATCATGTTTATCCATTACATCCATTGTCAAGACCACAGAGATGCACAGGGAGCCTTAATTTAGTTTCATTAATTCACTGAGCATGAGTGCATAGAATCATACAGTCCACACATTCCCATCCTAGTAAAAATACAGAAAAGCCATGACAGGACAGCTGCCCAAAATGAGAGTGCAAATCGGACAAGGCACAATTCAACTTAAGTGGGCTTCAAGTGGACTGGTGTTGAGGCTAGTATGAAGCAACCTTCTTACCACTGTGCATGGTGTGAATCAACTAGTTTTAAGTTGACCTGGATACAATTTCATACAGATTGATCTTTGCACAAGGTGACTAAAACAAGTGCAGTATATCTGCAACTGGGTTCATATCAGCTACTTACCTGTTTCTGCCCTTAGCTTCTTCAGGTTATAACCTCCAGGACCAACAAACTTTGACCTTCTAGCGACAGGGACTTCAAGGTTTTCTGAAATACACACAATTATCACATAGGATGGCCTTGTTGATCATGTGCAATAAACCAGGATTTTGTAGAGTATTTCTCCATGGATCACCTTAGGAGCCTAGATTTACTAGGTAGATCAGTCATTACGGGCAATTTACAATACAGTGCACCACCAAGGGGCTGCCACAGGGAGGCCATTTTCAAGTTAAAGGTTGACAAAAGCATGGCCAACTCGCCAGAATTTGCATTGGATCAAACATCACTGGGCAACCTGACGAAATTTTGTTATCTATCAGGGCATTCCTTATCTCTAAAGACAACGTCCTTGATTTATTAACACTGATGCTCAAAAGCTCTTTCTAATCTTCGTCCCAGACAATCATTCGGACTAAGTCAAGTTCCCCGTGCACAGAACAGCTGATGCATACAAGTGAAAAAGACCTGTCCATGGAACCTCTTGGTGGCGCACTAAATTGTGTACCACCCATATTGTTGCACAGCATGAGATACATCTACATCTAAATGCTCCAAAGTGGGTGTTGCCCACAGGACCCCTTCAAAAAAGACCCATTTCAATAAAGTCAGTTGTGCATACTTCCACAACATCTTTCGTTTCTACTCGGCATGAACCAGCCTCTCTACCTGTGACAGGGCTGTTTTCCTTGCGGCTATCTCTGGATTTCTTCAGAGCGGTTGCCATGATCGTTAAAATCTCACTCTTTCCAGCTGTCGCCTGTTGAATGGCTTCAACGATGATCTTCATAGGGACTGGCAACTTCAGATCAGTCTAACAGGCACAGAAAAGACAAATTCATCACATTTCCCTTCTTTTTTCTAATTTATAACCCATTAAAATGGTTACCAAGACCATTAACCACTTCATGCTGGGTGGAAGTTGCATATGCAGGATGAGTTTCCAGGCAATTTTCAAGAATTTCCATATTCAAAATTCTGCACAAATTCATAACTTCATTTACTGGATGCTAACACCTACACAAATGACTGTCAGGTGGCTACTCTAATGTGACAGGCAACCTCCATTGACACCGGGTATTGCAGCCAAGCCTACCGCCCAGTAAAGACAGCCCACATTGTGCGGGTGTTGTGTAGCTTCCTTTGTTCCTGAAATTGGCCCAGCGCATTGCTGAATGGCAGTGATGTCTTTTCAAATTTGGCCAGATTGGCATGCAGCATACTGTATCGCTCATCACTGCAGTGCTGGAGCACTTTTGTAGCCGTTGATAATCCGCAGGTGCTGAATGCCGCAAACAGTGGTATACTATTTCAAAACTATGACCGATTACCTCCGCTAATGCCAGCACTTTGTGCCGATTTCCCAGCTGCAGGTCTTTTGTTCCAAGTACAGTCTTTTGTTACAAGGCCGAGCTCCTTTGTCCCATTTCAGGCACCCCGGCTACACATACAAACCCGAGGCCTCTGGTACTGGGAAACCCAGTACGGAGTGGTTACAAATCCAAGGCAACTGTTCCAAACAAAGTTTTAATGCAGCAAGTTCCTTACAAATATGGCTGACGTGTATCAGGAGCCTGAAATCAGTGCTCCACTTGGCTTTAGTGACCATCGGTGTATATTTTTTTTCCCTTGTGAGCGAGTCCTGCCCCCAAACAAAAAATTGAGATGAGCAGTAAGACCCATGCCTGACAGTAAAATTAGGCAGTATGGGTCCTGGATCTTGCAGCATGATTGGTCAGAAGAGTATGCAGCCGAAGACATGAATGATAAATGCACAGTTTTCTATGACACAATCCACACCTGTCTTATCCTGTTCTTTCCAATGAGAACTGTTACAGTGCATCGTACTAATAAGGAATGAATCACGCCCAACATCAAACGACTCATTTTGAAGCATCAGGCGGCATATTGTAGCGCCAGCGGGTCCGGCCAGTGGGGGCGCCAGCTCGGACCCGCATGGAGTTGGCTGGCTGCCCCCGCTGGTATGCAAACAGCCCGCGGTTTTCCCACCTCGCACCTGCGCAGTCCTTGCGGAGAGGCGCCATGTTTCGAGCTTGTCTAAAACACATTGTTGTTAACGCTAGAGAAATAAAACAGAGATTTCTTGACCAGAACGCCGATCTGTGGCTGTGTGTGTCTATATTAGCGTCAGAGCCCAATCTGTAGGACACACTACAACTGGTGGCAGCGGCGAGACGCTGGACAGCTGTAAAAAAACAGGTAAACTCTTCGCCTTTTCTGTGTCATGGAATGGGTGGATGATTTGGGCGGCAGCACCGGCCAGTGCGGGGCCTCGTGGTCGGGGGCCCAGACTGCGAAGGCGACGTGGGACTCACCTGGGTTGGCGGGCGAGCTGGAGACATTCCTCGCGGGGAATCTGGAACAGGAGCGGGAGGTGGAAATTCGAGGGTATCGAGTGCGTAGAGAGCGCGGCGTGGCACAATCTTGGCTTAGGTCCCCTGGAGAATGCAGCCAAGTCTGCGTAGTCCTTGGGCGACTTCCCCCCTCCCAAAGTCGATGGGGCAAGGAAAGTGCCGTTCCGATTGGAGCACAACCATTTTCCCGGTCTCTGAGGAGGGGGCGGGGCATCCCAGGCGACATCCTCCCAACCCCTCGCTAGTACACCCATCGCACGCATCCGCGGGGTGCCCTCTGGCAGCAGGGCCACACTGGGAAAGGCGTTCCAGTCGGAGCCCCATTAGGGTGGGTCGGTAGCTGGGGGGTCCTAGCGGGGGCCGGTTGGAAGTTCATTCATGTCTTGTGGTAGTGTCGGGGTGCCCTCTCGCGGTACCGTCGTGGCCGAGAGATTGTTCCTCCCGGAGCACGGCCGGGCGGCTGCCGTGGGGTAGGAGCCTCGGTGCAAGGTAGCTGAAGCTTGTAATACTAGCCATATTACAGGGGCGCCCTCTTGCGGCGCCACGAAGGCTAAGGAAGCGTCCCTCTCGGAGCACAGTCAGACCCGTGACAGGTTTCGGGGCACCCTCGCATGCCGGGGACGTGGCTGGTGTGGCGTAACGCCTGGAGTGCTGCGAGGCCGCGGCCACGGTCGTCAGGAGGGGGGCGAGACGAGCTAGCTGGAGTTTGTGAGATAAATAGCGAGATGCGGACGCTCCCGCGTGGCAAAACTGCGATGGGTGGCACGGTTAGGGCGGATCCCTGCGCAGGGATCTGCACGCATCTGTATAAGGCAGATCCGCCTCGGATCCGCGTGCAAACTTATGAGGCGGATCCCCACCCGGGGATCCACACGCATCTATATGAGGCGAATCCCCATCGGATCCACGCACAGATGCGCGAGGTGGACCCCCTTGGATCCGCGCTCAAACTCACGAGGCAGATCCCCGCTTGAGGATCCGAACGCGCCTGTATGAGGCGGAACCCCCCTCGGATCCGCACACATGCTCATGAGGCGGAACCCCCCTTGGATCCGCACACATGCTCATGAGGCGGGTCCCCACTAAGGGATCCACACACGTCTGTGCAAGGCGGATCCACACACGTCTGTGCAAGGCGGATCCCCCTCGGATCCACGCACAGACGCACATGGCCGATCCCCCTTGGATCTACGCGCAGACACACGAGGCGGATCCCAAACCGGGGATATACACATGCCTGGTTGAGGCAGATCCCCAACTGGGGATACGCACACGCCTGGTTGAGGCGGATCCCCCCGGATCCAAACACAGACATACGAAGCAGATCCCCGAGTGGGGGCAGCCGATCAGAAGGATCGAAGACCGGAGCTACTTCCGGACCAGTATGACGGAAGCTCGTCCTGGGCGGATAACATTACGTGCTTCAAGAGTGTGGCCACCGTCAATAGACGGAGCGAGGCCGAGAAGGCAGGGTACTTGGCCTCCCATCAGTGGGGACTGGCTCCGGAGGCATTCACCGACTTATCGCCGGAGGCCCGGAAGGACTACGTGGAACACTTCGAGCAGCGGTTTGGAGTTGCTTCACAGGTGCCGCTCCATCGGGCTCAACTTTCCATGCGGGTGCGCCAGTCGGGGACAGTCCCTAGAGAAACTGGGGAGGTCCATCCGACGGTTAGTCCTCCGGAGTTACCCCACCTTACCCACGCAGGTGCGTGAAGATCTGGCAGTGGAGGCCTTCCGGAATTCCCTGGGGGACGAACAATTGCAGCGCCATGTCTTCGCCTGGAAGGCCACGACCCTGACAGAGGCGATTACCCTGCCCCCTGAGATGAAGGCCTTTTTGAAGTCCCAGGCCCATCAGCGGAAGGGTCAGATCGGGGCCAAGGAGGTTCGGGTGGTCAGGAACCCTTCGCAGGTACGCCAGGCAAGGTGGGGGTGGCAGGTGGGGATCCACCCTCGCCTGGCGCCCCCTCACGGGTCCAGTGCTATGGGTGCCACGAGTATGGATATTTCCGCCAGGATTGCCCGTGCGGAAAGGGGAAGGGCGGCGCCGTCCAAGGCCGGCCGCTGGCAGAGCCAGTCTTGACGGCGCTGCCGAAGTTGGCCCCTGCGCCGTGTTTGTTGGTGGCAGAAACAGGGCCAGCGGCCCGACACAGGGAGACACCGGTAGCACCGGCAAACCGGGCCAACTACGCCACTAGCAAGCTGGACCGACTCTGCGGATGGCTGATGGTAGCCCGATGCAAGCGCACGGAGTCACCGACTTCAAACTCCAGCTGGGGGACGAGTGCACCCTACACACCTACACCGTGGTGGACATCAAACCTGACGTCATTGTGGGGATAGACTTCCTGGCTAAACACCGCTGCAAGTGGAGGTGGAGCGACAACTCACTTGTGGTTGACGGCAAGCTAGTTCCCCTGGAGGGGCCGAGCTGCAAGCCGGTGGTGGCACGGGTCCAAGTGGCCAAGAGGCAATCGTGACTGGGAAAGTCTGCAGAGATCGTGCCCGCGGAGTGGGGATGGTGTACCCCAGCCTGGCGGCCACAGACCATTGACAGGTGGCCGTCGCGACGGGCCTTGCGGATAGTCAGGGGGCCGTGGCGGTGCCGAGTATTCAACCCGACGGGAGACCCGGTTACAGTCTATAAGGGGAGTCGTCAGGCCATGTTCACCCCCGTGGAAGAAGGCGCGGTGATCGACCCCGAGGAGAGTTCTCAACAGGTGGTTCCAGAGCCCTGCCCCACAGAAAGTTCCGTTTGGAACACCGAGGGCGGCCCAGTGGGCCACGGTTGCCAGGGAGGCTCTTCTCGGAGCTCGGGCGATAGTGTAGATAACATAGATGCACTCAAGAGAGCCAGGTGGTTCAACACCCTGGACTTGGCCAGCGGGTACTGGCAGGTCCGCATAGCGGAGGATGACAAGGAAAAGACAGCTTTCGGGACACAGAGCGGCCTCTACCAGTTTACCGTGATGCCGTCCGAGCTCTGTAACGCTCCAGCCACCTTCGAGCATCTGATGGAGCGCGTCCTGCGGGGTCTCCAGAGGCAAGTGGCCATCGTCTACCTCGATGACGTGATAGTTTGGGGGCGGACCTTTGAGGAGCACTACCAGAGGCTGGCCATGGCACTGGGGTGGTTCCAGACCATCGGCCTCAAACTGAAACCCAAGAAATGTGACTTTTTCAAGACGGAGGGTGTCCTTTCTGGGCCACTTGGTGTCGGCGGAGGGGGTGCGGACAGACCCCACTAAGGTCGCAGTGATCCGTGGTTGGCCAGGGCCGACGAACGTGACGCAGGTCCAGAGTTTCCTGGGCCTGATGTCAAATTATTGGCGGTTTATTGCCTGCTTTGCAAAGATCACCCAGCCCCTCCATGCTTTGACCAACAAGAGCCAGAAGGAGTTTGTGTGGACCGATGCCTGCCAGACGGCGTTTGAACACCTGCACGATGCCCCAGCTACGGCGCCGGTGTTGCGATATCTGGACCCAGGAAGGCGCTATATCTTGGATATCAATGCCAGCAACTGCACGATCGGGGCCATTCTCTCCCAGGAGGGGGGAGCAAGGAGAGCGGGTAGTATTTTATGGGAGTCGGGTCCTGACCAAGGCGGAGAGGAACTATTGCAAGACAAGGAAGGAGCTCCTGGCGGTCGTGCACTTTGTGCACTATTTTAAGCACTACCTGTTGGGGAAACGCTTCTTGTTGAGGACAGACCACGGCTCGCTGTGCTGGCTCTTTAATTTCAAAGAGCCAGAGGGGCAGACAACCAGATGGCTGCAGAGGCTGGGGTGCTACGAGTTTGACATAGAACACCAAGCAGGGCGGAAACACATCAATGCCGACGCCGTCTCTTGGATACCCTGCGGCCTGTGCAGGCGTTCCCAAGAGGTTGACCAAGAATGTTACACGGTGCCGGCCCCTCTGGCGGATTCGGACCCCCCTCGGAGCCGGCCGCCAGAGGCGGAGGACGAGTCCCTGGTTGCGACAGCCGACATGGACGGAGAGGAGGATGACTCAATTTTGGATGGGTTTCCCGAGGTCTGGGACCTGAGCAATCTAGCTCAGGAGCAGCAGGACAACCCGGAGCTGGGACCGGTCCGCCAGTGGCTGGTGGCGGGGAGCGACCGGCCTGAATGGGAGGACATCTCCGACCTCAGCGCCGGGGTCAAAAGCTGGTGGTCCAGATGGGACAACCTGCACCTATTCCGAGGGGTCTTGCAAGTGAAGTGGGCAAGGGCCGACGGGGGGCCCCCACCTGGAAGATCGCCGTCCCGCAGGCCAGGGTGCCAGAGGTTCTACTTCTTGCCCACAACCACCGAACTGCTGGACACCTCGGGGTCGCTCGGACCGACTCTGGCAGGCTCCTGTGTATTGGAGGGAAATGAGACGGCAGGCTGAGGAGTGGTGCCAGAAGTGTCAATACCTAGTGGGGGCCCCCATGGAGCGGATCACCATTGACCTTACCGGATGCCTGCCCCGAACCAAGGCCGGAAACACCAGCATAATGGTAACGGCGGACTATTTCACGAAGTGGGTGGAGGCGTTTCCCCTTCGGATCAGACGGCCGAGACTGTGGCCAAGACCCTGGTGGAGCAGGTGATCACGCGCTTCGGGACACCCCTCGAGATCCACACGGATCAAGGGCGGGAGTTCGAGGTGGGCCTGTTCCGCGGGGTCTGCCAGCTGTTGGGCATCCACAACACCAGGACGACTCCATTCCGCCCCCAGTCCAACAGCATGGTCGAACGATTCAATCGAACCATGAAGACCATGCTGAGCTTGTTTGTGGCTGAGAATCAGGACGCCTGGGACGAACATCTTCCCTACGTCCTGATGGCCTACCATTCCTCCCAGCACGATAGCACCAGGCTCACCCCGAACATGCTCCTGCTCGGGAGGGAGGTGGGACTTCCCCTGGATGTCGTTGTGGGATCATCGGAGGAACGGACGGAGACTACCGAGGCACTAAATTACGTCGACGAGCTGAGAGCAAAGCTCACGTGAGCCCACAAGTTTGCCCGGCGACACCTGAGGCGGACTCAGAGCTACCAGAAGCAGCAGTACGACCGTCGCACCCAGGAGGGCAGGTTCGAGCCCCATGGTAGCGGAGAAGACCCTCAGAACCCACCAGACTTGTACTTGTTGCTTTGTTCCACTCCTTGTAAGCTGCTCAGGGGCGACCGGGATGGCCTCAGGCTGGCCCACCAGGTTGCACCGCCTCGTTCGGGGACAAACAAGAGTCCTCGGAGGGGGCGGTGTAGCGCCGGCAGGTCCGGCCGGTGGAGGCGCCAGCTCGGACCCGCATGGAGTTGGCTGGCTGCCCCCGCTGGTATTCAAACGGCCAATGGTTTTCCAGCCTTGCGCCTGCACGAGGAGAGGCACCATGTTTAGAACTTGTCTAAAACATATTGTGGTTAACGCTAGAGAAATAAAACAGATTTCTTGCCCAGATTGGCAATGTGTGGCTGTGTGTGTGTCTATATTAGTGTCGGAGCACAATCTGTAGGACACGCTACAATATTATCAAAGCAATGTGTTACGGTGACATTTGAGAAACAAGGTTCAACATGATATAAAACGAGCCAAGGCCACCACTTCTGCAAAGGGGTCGCGGTCAACACCATCCAGGTGGAGGATGCGGACATGCTGGATGTCCATGCTAGCGACACTGAGCTGGACGGGGACCCCAAGCTTCGGGGAAGCTCGCCCTCGCAACCACGCCTGGTCCCGGGAGGAGACCTTCAGACGCCTCACCCCCAACCGGAGCCGCCCGGGAGGAGCCGCTCCACAAGGAGACAGGAGAGGCAGAGGCGACGGTGCCACCAAAAGCGGCCGGGGGGCCGTGACCACGTGGCTCCACCTCCCAACCAGGCCAGCCATGCACCATTGGCCCGGAGCCCCAATGCAGCCGGGTCCCCTTCCCGGCAGTGTCCGAAGGAAGACGGAGTGCAGACCGACTCCTGGTGTCCTCCAACGTTCCCATTCCACCGTGGTGTGGGAACCGTGAGCATCTGCCTCCGGGTACTACAGTGATGCTGCCAACGGGGCCCGGATGTGCTTGGGCGACGTGGCGACCCTACAACCCTGCGACGCTACCCGGGACGGGAATGCCCACCCCTCTTTGCGAGCACCTGCATAGCGAGTGGAGACTGGAGCAGACGCCAATAGGGGTTGACGAGCTTGGACACCGCCTGACGAGAACCCTGATCACCAACATATAGAAGTGCCTGGGTGCATGCTCAGCACCTACGATGGGCAGCAGTATGGCCAATTCTTTGTCGATCCTTCCATGGCCACCCAGCCTTCTGTAGGAGGGATCCTGCCACCCAGGGCTCCCCTACCACCACGCTACCCCGAGTAGGTCCCAGCTGGGTTTTGGGAGGCCCTTTTCTGGCAGACGGAAGTCCAGCGCCAGCTGCCACCCCGTGCCCCATCAGGAAGGTTCGCCAGTAAGGGAACATCGAGACAACAGCTTCCCACCATCGCTTTCACCCTTTGTTTTCCAAGTAGAGGTTTTCCCTTGTTGTTCTAAACTCATTGTTCTAAACCATTTCTTGACGTGTTTTTTTTTTTAGGTTGCTCTAAAATTATCGTGAGCTGTACAGGCGCGGTGGGGACCTGTCTCCTGGTTGTGCCGGCTGCCGGCGTCCACCGCCTTGTTCGGGGGCTAACAAGGGTCCTCGGGGGGGGGCGGTGTGGCACCGGGGGCTGGCTGGTCGAGTGGGGCGCCAGTCTAACGGCGCCCTTGCTGGACCAACCGGGAGACCACGCCACGCCAGCGCTGAGAGGCTTCTTTAGGTTCCTCTATGTGGAACCCCCAGACCGTCGGAGAGTTACAGAATTTTGAAAACAGAAAAAAAGATAATTATCCCGCCCGAGCATCATCAACATTGATAACTGCCACCGGTGCAAAGTGGTTAAACGTAAACAATCCAATCACATATTTATTCCCTTATTTATTCATATACACAAAGCCACATTTAGCCCTCTTTCTTATAATTCTGATTGCAGTTTTGTCTCAAACTTACCTCTGCATTATCCTGACCTCATCCTCATGTTATTGCCTTATTTTCCTTTAAAAATCTGGGTGAAAAACTTTGAATATAATCTTATGCCTATTCCCTCTTCAAAAATTAGAGGAGCACACATTCTCACCTTCCATCTCCCTCCTCCCAACATATATATCGACATTAATAGTTGCAAAATGTGTCTGAAGAAAATGTCTATCTGACCCCATTTGTAAGCCTAGAGAATTCAGAGAAACAACATCCAATGAAACTATTACGCACCCAGAGACCCTAATATTGATCTTCTTTAGTGTAATAAAAGCACAATCGTTTTTATTCGATCTGATAGACACAAGAGACTATAAACTTTTCGGGAGAGGGGGGCTGTTACTACGAAGTACTAGGACAAGCTATCCAAACACAACGTTTATAGACATTACCTGCAGCGCTGTTACGCCTTTTTTGGTTCCAGCCATTTTGAAATCCATATCACCCATGTAATCCTCAATACCCTGTGACATGAAAAGACCCCAAAGAAGTTGTTCAATAACACATTTATTTAATGAGAATTACTCGTAAACATCTCTGACATTGTACTCTAATCCGGACAGGGCATTTACGTACTTGTTTACATAGTAAGATTTGGTGAACAAAGCATTTGACAGTGTCACAAAAGAGTAAATGTCTCATAGCTTCAAACTATACTCATGATTAACATGTTCTACTTGTGCAGCATTCTGCTCCCAGTTTTGCAAGTAAATGCCAATAGGTTTACATCTAGCTTAAGATTATGCAATTCTCTGACGAGCATGACATGTAAGCTTTACACAGGCAACTATGGAAGAAACTTCAGACACACTTAATCATTTGTGAATATTACACCATCACAAAACACCCGGTACCAGACACTCCAACAATTCACACAACTTTATCTTGCATTAAATGCTCAAAACAGCAGACCTGTTTGATTTTCACATACCATCTTAAGTTCAATACACACTCCAAACCTTTTAATACTGTATGTCTACATACACTTCAAATATCTGTCTAAAAAAAAAACCCTTAATTAATATAAAGGGGAATTTATATTGCCTGTACTTAAAAACGCCTCTGTGTTTTAGTATAGGCAATATATATCTGTGATCTTTTTTTTATACCGCCATTCGGTAAAAGGGGGGACATACCCTATCTACATCCAAGCATCAACAGTCAAAAGTTGGGAACCTTTCATCCCAACATCCCACGCAAACCTCATTCAAAAAGTGAGAAGATATCCACAAACCCTAGGGTCAAAATGGCTGACACAGCCACCATACACCCACATGCCCCTAATCAAACAAGTGGGGTGAGGAGGGGATATACCTATCCCTGAACAACCTAACACTCATTTCAACCCATTTATATCCCTCAGGCTAAGGGTGCTCACCAGCAGGTCTGTTAAAAGTTTGTAGTCAGTGATACTGTGTGGATCGTCCGGTTCGGTGGCTGCTACTAGGCCTATTGCTACGCCGGCTACGGGGCTGCTGATGGGAACTCCTATGAGAAAGCACAACAGACTCCAATGAAGTAGACCTCTCTTCCTCTCAACCTCTGTGCTGCACACACAAGGATGGCTGGTGGGTTAATTTGCCACAAGTACTCTGAGTCATTGCCAGCAGACATATGTATCTCCACATATCTGTGAAGTTTGTGGAGATGGACCTTGCATTATCTTGACCTTCACACTGTACACAGCCTGTTGTAGCCAATATTGTTTGAGTTTTACAAAATATCTCTCCAGTTAACACACACGCTTCCGTGTACCAAAGCTAGATTTCACACCTTGTTGCAAAATTTTTCGATAAAAAATCCAAGCATTTCCCACTGTTCAAATGAATTAATACTTGGCTAAATGACAACACACACCTGCATCCATAAGTGCCAGACTTCCACCACAAGCAGAGGCCATTGAAGATGATCCTACAAGTGACACAGGAAAGAACAATGGCAGAATCTAACCAAAACATATAGTCTATAAAGAACATACATGATACCAGATCATTTGAAATCTCAAGTGTATCAAGTGCTTTGCCCCCAAAAAAGAGATTCTCTGCAACAATCACACACATAATTTAACCCAACGAATTGGAAGTGGCCCTTAACCAATCACACTGAAAGAACATTCATTTCAAACATGTCTGCTAAGGGCCGGCGACCATTTAGACCCAGTTTGAAAAGGGTCCCCCAGTAGCCCGCCCTGTATAATGCCTGCCAGGTATTCAGGCTACTCCAGGCCGGTATCAGGCCTGTCTGCACATCGGCATTTCAAAGTCCCTGATGAAAGGCTTCCCCCATCATGCTTCCACAGATGAATAGGGGTCTAAGCGGATTAGGGTAAACATTGTATAGAGCTGAAGGATTAAAAACCACAAGCAGGTTCCTTCTGGGATAGATTACATGTACCAGTACTTGCAAACAATAGACCCCAGGATGGAGAAGTTCGAGATCAACAACCAGTCCAACATCCCAGGCCGGTAGCCAGGTCTGTATGAAAGGGGTTTTTGCAACAGGGCGAGCTTACCGGGGGGCCCTTTTCAAACCGGGTCTAAATGGTTGCCGGCCCTAATGCGCCTCACACACTCATGATCGATCAGTGGTCCATTCACCACGCCAGTCACTCTTTTTGCTGTTTACGATTACCAGGAGCCCACAGCATACTGAACCATACTGAACTGAAATGTTGCCGTGGTGAAGTATGCCGACCTCTAATACCTCAGGGTGCTATTCTCGACTATTCACATTCAAAATCACATTTGTATACTATCCATACTGACATGAAAGTGATTCTTAACTTTTTTCAACCTATGAGAGATATGTTGGCCCCGCCTGATTGCGCTTTAAGATAACCACCTACCGTTGGACTCTAGTACTTCACTGGTTAAGCGGATGGTGAATGGAAAGTCATTGGGGATGACTGGTTTGAGAGATTTCTCTGCCAGAGCACCTGTAAGAAACCAATTTAAGAGTTTAATCCGTCGGGTCATTTGACTTTGCTTGTACAAAATTTCCACTCCTTTTTAAAATAAATCTTCATCCACTTCACACAAGGAAAAGCTGCGAGCAGGGTGGGGGGGTCTTTCAACCAGACTAGTGATGGCTACAGGCAGTGTGCCCATCTCAAGAAGGCTATTTTTCACAGAACATGTATGAGGGGATACCAGCTTTCCCGAGTTAAACAAGATAAAAAAAGAATTTTGATATCGAGTTTTTGACAAATCACACAATGGTTAGACCAACGGTTGGCATGACATACAGTATGAAGTGTAGGGATTGGTGTGCAACCCAGACTTGAATCAGAGATCAAACATTATTGACACCACATGCTCCAATACTGCTCATATTAAAAACTGTTGACAACTGTTGGAAAAGTATAAAGTGTACATTAAATGATCTACGATGAAAGACATAAACTTCTCTGAAAGGATGCATGTCAAAATGAATTTGGTACATGGTCAATGCAGGTGAGAAGTCTCCTACAATGCTCGGACACACTGAATAAGCTCTAAGAAAGTTTGGGAGCACACAATTTTGACCACTATTTAGTTGATTCTTACCAATGTGCTCATGCAATTCAGTTCCAATCATATGAGCCAAGTTGAACTACTTTGCAAAATCCCATTGTCATTAACATTTTCCCATTGGCTGCATCTCTCGCCGCATTCATGGTCTCTGTCATCTTTTTTTTTTTCATGAAAATGATTTCCTTGGTACTCAACTTATAAAAAATGTTATTAATAACCAGTGATGCAACTGTACTCTGGGCCTGGTTCCAACCAAGCTTGATCGAGCACTATACTAAAAACATTTGGCTGGTTTGTGTCCTCAACTGTAAAACCCAGAGTGCTTCTTTTCTGATCTTATACTGGGAGATGTGTTACAAAACACATATGGGCGAGCAACATTCAGTCATTTGTGCATGTCCACGCCTCCCTCAAGCCTGTGACCAAAAAGGGGTCTATAGGCCCCGAGCGGGACCAAGAGAGGGTGCATTTTGTAGGAACAGAGGCTCCTTTGGTGGGAACTGCACTTCCCTGGTTTACGAGTGACTATGAAATATAAGCCTTCCAGCAAAATGAACACTCCCACCAACATGGCTCTTTCTAACCAGTTTTGGCCTTGGAAAATAGGTCCCTCTTCTGGGCCCTCACAGATCCTCAGGTGCACAGGTAGGCATTAGTGACCTGACTGCAACTCCATATGTGTATTCCATAGTCAACGCTTGAACATGCCCTAAATAACAACTGGATTTCACTGAAGGACTATCTACCAAGATTCATCTGTGCCCAAGCAAGGACAACATAATGCTTAATACATGTACGTGTTGAATCACAGTCCACAACAGCTCAAATCTATAATGATGCCTCAAACTTAATCTTACCGTGACCCAGTTCTCTTCTTCCCGGTGATAACTTCCCTGTTTCATTAGTTGCATAAGGAGGAAACTAAGAGCAAAATACAAAGAGCAGACCAGCATTGATTGATAATCAATGGCGGTGATGCTGTGAAGTTCTACAATGGTCTGCATTTTGAATACAGGTCCAATGAATTTGAGGGTTGCAGGTCTAAGTTCCCTTCCAGTCTCTTTTCCAATGTGCACAGGATTTGAAACCGTTAATGTGGTGGTTCTAAGTTTGTGTGAACGTTGTATCCTGCATGTGACAAATAAGGCACTTACAAATTGCAGAAACACAAGGGTATCCCAAGCCAAAAGATACACAGCACTTGCATCAGCATAGTGACCCTGTAGTCTACACTGTTAAACCAGCCAAGCGAAAAATGTGGAACTGCATAGATATTAGAATGTCATGCTTTATGGTGCTCAAGAAAGGGGGGTTAGTCCCTTCAAGCCAAGCTCACATTGGACTTCTTTCAGAAAACATGGTAAGAACATGCCGATTCAAGGGTATTTCATCCACCCAGTGAAAATTTCTTGTTAAAAAATCTCCCCAAAACAAGAAATGGCAACCAATCTCCACATTAGGTGGCTTTCAATAAGTTAATCTAATTTGAATTGAAATTTGTTAAATATGCTTCTGGAAATCAGTCGACCCTTAGTTTCTCAATGTAAGAAAGATTGCATAAAACCATAGAATGCTTGCTATGTCCCAGTCAACATCGGGCCAGTGTTTAATCGCAAAGAAAGCTACTCTTGACGGTATACATTTTAGTTGTGAGGTAGGCACTCCACAACCAGGTCTACATGTCAATCATCAAGCGAATGACTGGGATGACAACGAAAAGTGCTATCTGTTTTGAAATGAAAATCAAAATCCACTTTGATGTCAAAACTGACAGGTGAATTTTGCTCATCCATTTTTGACACAAGAACTAATAACAATCTAAAAACAGTATCTTCTCTGACGAGGGCGGGAGACGCCCGAAAATTCATCCTTAAGTACATGTAAGTTCCCACAGGGAGATATGTCTTTAGAGAGATAAATAACTTGTCAGGGGAATCCCTGTACACGGTCAGGAACACGATAAAGTGTATCAGTATCTCCTCTTTTTACTGAAACCATAGCCTGCATGCTACTACAGAAACATAAAATTTGACATGTTGACCTAATGCACCTAGTTTTGACCACTGGGTCAACACTCATGTGATACCCAAACAAAAACAAAGTCTGGCTGGGACCACACTCAAAGTTCACAGTGTGTAAAAACTTTCTGAAAGTAAAAGGAAGCATACTGAGCTTCCATGATGTTTACTAACATACCTCATAATGTAGCATAAAATTCTTCTCTTTCACACCACTGTAAAAATAACAGGAAAAAGTACATGAAACAAGGTGATCTTTATAAAAAGGGGCATTTTCTTTCAAGTCGTGTTTTTTTTGGTTCAATTAGATTAGAAAGTTTTGTATTTCTACATACCCTGTAATTTCCAGAATAGGATCCGTTCTAAGAGCTGATTCGATGGAGTCAAAGGTCACTGTACACATACACTGCGGAATACAAGTACATGAGAAAGCATTTATAAACTAATGAATAAAGTGGGAATGCAAATTTCCCTTACAATTTTCTGAGTTTATATTCATATTCATTCAAAGATTGCTTTAAAAACTCAACAAAGGTTGTCTGTGTTGAAGGTTCCTACTGTTCCGACTCCACGTCTTGAATTCAGGAAGAATGCCAGACTGCTGTGATGTGTTGTGTGCAGTTCTGCACAACCATGGATGCAAAGGCAACTCAGGCTAATATCCTTGCACACCCAAAATCTCTGTAACTCACACTGCCACCAATGAGTCAAGCATATTGCTAACAACCACAAATTTCTCTTGGTGTCGTGAATCGTACCTGTGTCTGTCCCCGCTGGAAGAGTGCTGAGCCATGAAGGGGCTTGAACAAGTCTACCTCACATCGGATGTCTCTCAATTGCTTCAAATCCCGCCCGTCGCATCTACCAAGACACAAAACAGCAAAAAGACACTGAAATAGTTGGTGCTCAAGCTTTTCCACATGCTGCCAAGCTTTAGAGAAAGCTATTTAGAAGGCTAAAACCTAGTATTTAGCGCATAAAATCCATCTTTTGCATGGTTTGCATTTTTCCTCTAATTTTTCCCTCCCTGACCTTTTACAGTGGGGGGTGCAATCGCAAAACCTTTCTAGCTGTAATACTATTGCTCCAGCATGCAACAGTATCTAGCAGAGTTAGTACACATATAAAACATAAAGGTTTTGCCAGCAAAATCACGTCTCTTCCGAAATTACAATTATTCTGCACAACATATTACTCCACTCAAATTTTACTAAATTCAAGTTTTATTAACCAAAATGTGCCTTCATAACTTGGTCAATTTCTGTACCAAATGTTGAAGAGCCATATTGATTAACAGCTCTGGCACACATACATGTATAAATTGAAGTCTTTACCAGGATGACTCATCAAAGTGTTTTACACTAGTGCTACATGTATACCTCCTATCCTGCTCCAGTATAAGACTTCGGAAGACTTCTTTGGCTACTGAGTTAAATGCTTCATTGATGAAATATGACTCCTCAGTGGGGAATAGTTCTGTGAAATACAACAGAAATCAACGAGAGCTGATTAAAGCAACTCATAGAAAGTGTGTTAACATGGCGATGTACTTCAGGTGAAGGAAATGAGTGGACCCTCATTTACCCTGTACATATTCATGATCTAAATATGCCATTGTCTTGGTCAAATTATCAGTCTTGTCCTAAACATAATCATTCCTAAACATAATCAACTAATGTTTTTCATCTGATGATAAGCCTTTTCAAGTCTTCCTTGATATATTACCAACATAAAAGAAGTCATTTTCTCACCTTTGATCTGCTCAAAAAATTCATCTTTCACAGCAACAGCAGCCCGATCTCTTGAAAACTGCCAAAAAAAAGGAATGAAAACTCAGTCTTTTCACTCTATATAATACATGCATGCATGTAAATGCATGGTCTTTGCTCGATGTATTCATATGTGGTAAACACATTTCCAATATTGAACACCAAAACCCACTTGTTGTGTAATGACCCTTTTTTCCTTTTTATGAGCAGTTGAATCCAAGCCTAAAATAAATGTCTCAAGAACTAAAGACATGAAGAGCTGTTATACATTGGTAAATGCAACCCATCATATCAAAATAAGGCTGACGTAGGTAATTTTATTGTTGACAATTCCTCTTGCCCATCATTAATTTTCAAAGTGATCCACAAGAAAGCTTTGGTAGTTATGGGCAGTGAACGTTGGGGAATTTGCATTGTTCTGGTGTACACAGGTGCCATTTTCCAAATTACAGCTAAGAAGCCTTCAATCTCGTGGATAACGAATAGAAATGCAGCAGGAGTCAAAACATGAACATTTTCAGTTCTCTTCTTCTTAAAATACACAACAGATTATTTACCAAAGAAAAACTAACACTGCCTTTATCTTTGTAGCTGTGGAGAACATTTCCAATTTTACAGCAAGCAAATTCAAAGAAAAGATCTTGATACAGTTTTGGAAATTGGCTCATTCTTTTAAATGATGGCAAATATTGGAATGATGCCAACTTACCTTGTCATGAGTTACATCTGTGTAGACTTCAAAATATTTCTCTCTTGTTAATCTATCAAAGAAACATGACAAATGGTCACTGAAGTGTAACTTGTTATTAGACAAATGCAAATTCTTCCAAAGCAGCATTTGCATTCCACATGTCAGTTTTCCCCAACTTCCTTAAGAAATACACTCCAATTACTGCGGATATTTATCCTGTTCATCTACTCACTGGCTTTAGTGAAAGAGCAAAAAATCGGTACAGGTGATCACGTCCCTTATTTCCTTGCATTTGGGAGTTATAGAAGACAAGGGCAGACATTGGACAGATTTCTTGTTGCTCTTGTTGAGATATTGGCCTGTTCGTTTCGTGCTGATCCAGACTGCAATCATTGATCTGTCATTGGCTCACTGACACCAAATCCTGCCTAATGGACAGTGCAAACCAGCCATGGGATCACTGATCGCGACCCAGATCCGTGTGAAACAAACAGACCCATTCACTAAATAAAGTTAATCAATGGGGAAAAGAGGTATTTGGTGAATATGTTAACCCTAACCACCAAGCATATTGTTTGGCTTACACTACTCAGTACTACAAAATACTAAGAAGTAGTCTGAGCCTGAAGGACCTAGCGCTACAGATTACTACTTCTAGCTAGGTTCCTTCCATTGTTACTCGTACAGAGAACAATAAAGCCATGCATTCATAGTGCCACAGGCACTGTGTGGTACATTGTCTTTTCTATTGTATTTTATGGCTTCAGAGAACAATACCGTCATGTCCTCTTACAAGCGGCAGCACTGATTACTACATTTTACTCTACGTAGTAATTTGTAGTATTATGTAGGGTTAGGGTTGAAGCCTCACAAAACCACATGACACTCCCATATGTTGACTATACAACTCTACCCCATTAACAAATTATAGAATTAAAGATATCCTTGAGTGCTCAGACAGTTTGTTCCACCACTCTCTTACCTACTAACAGCCTCTACAAGTTCCTCAGGGGGCACAAACAGTTTCTCTGGTATCCTCTTCTCTTTCCCGCATCTCTTGGTGAGTCTTTCGATCTGTTGAACTATGACCTGAGTCTCTTTCAAGCCTGCCCGGATGGCCTTAACAAAGTCATTCTGCAGGATGTTGTCTGCGGAAGCCTCCAACATTACTGACAGAAAAAAAATTGACACATTCCCTGCTTTGTAGCTGCATGTTGAGCAATACTGTCTTGCATTGTTAGGCTGCATCCGAATCTGTTGTCTAGAGCTAGGTCTTGGTCTTCACTCCATTAGAAATACGCAGAGATGCACAGACAAAAGACCTAGCCTTAGCTCCGGAAGCTCGTTTTGGACAAGGCCCCAGTTTATCTACTTTCTGACATCAAAGTAAATGCAACCTGAACAGCAGCACAGTATACATGACAAACACGTCTCCTATTTTGGAAAGGACAAAATATTAAATACTCCTAGAGTCTCTATTTCACACAATGAAAGTCAATTAAACCACCATGAAAGATTGTCTGTTATCATTAGTTAAGTCCCTATTCCATTCAAACATTTAAAAACCACTCCATCAAACCCTCATTCCTATTCATAAATTTCCTTTTCATGCACAGAAGTCAATTCATGCACGTTGAACTAAAAGCTCCTGTAACGGACACTGATGCATTGTGAGCACTACGCACAGAAGCACAGAATGCAGCAATGCCAGTGTAAAATGAAATTTAGACGGTGAGAAATACAGCCCTGTTTGGTGAAAAGCTTATGCCGGTGCCACTGATTGCCATGTACAAATTGGACTCAACATTTCATACCAAACCAGAAAAGTGTCTACAACCAACAACAGTAGTTTTATTACCCACTTAGGTTTAAGTTTTCTGAGGTACTTACATCAGAAAGATGTTTCATGGAACTCAAATATGTTTACAAGTTTTCATTCATGTATGCAAGACAGATTGGCCTGTGTATTCTAATGTGAAAGTGAGCATATAATGAACATGCATGAAAAGCAAGGGACAAGGACATGCCAAGCTACAATCCAGGCCAAATTGTTGGGACACATGTCAATAGCCATACCCTCCCAAGGTCTCCCACTCCCATGGTCAATGTCATCATTTTGAGCTGGAGCACAGACGGCGTATTCAGACCTAACACTGAGAGGGGGCCCAGCGATGAGAAGGGGTCCATGAGATTTGACCAGGATTGTAGGTTCAGGATATCTCAAGGTTGACACACAACATGATATTAAAGTTCAAGAGGCAAGCTTCACCTATGCTGCTCTTCCTAGCTCCAGTCACCACGAGATTGAGACGGCTCTTGCTCAGCTGTAGCCTTGTGGGATTGATGACGATGTCATCGTCGACTAGCCCCACCCTGACTGCACCCACAGGACCACTCCAGGGGATGTCTGACAATGTCAAGGCCATGGAAGCTATACAGATACCAGGGGAAAGAAGAGATGCTAATGGTCAGTTTATACTTGGTGCTGAAGCAAACACGAATGTCACATTGCAATATCAGATCAAATATTCATGCTCGGAATACGCGAAAGTTGAACACAATTCAAATTGTGGCAAATTTTGCTGCAACTGTTTCACGACATCAACTTCACTTTCATGTTCAGATTATGTCAGAACTGGTCTTAAATTGGCAGCTTTGATTTTGTTGTCTGAGGACAGGTTTCAATTACAGGCACACTCTAAAATACACAGTTCCAAGGGACATTTTCCACACCATAATGCAGAAGTACACTAAGGCTTCGGATATTATTTTAAGCATTTAATGACTTTTCGAAGTTGCTCTCAAATTATGTCACATTACGACCTAACAAGAACCAAGTCTAACCAAGAACTCAAATAATTTTTGCTTGAAAGAAAGGCCCCAACAGAATCCATTTTTAAGTGTTACAGGTGCAAGCCAGGAAAAAATAATTTATAAAGGATTCATTCTGTGTTTGCTGCTAAAAAGATGTAATAATTTAACTTGTTACTTCAATACCTTTTGCACTGTTACAATTTTGAGCCAATATGAATGTGAATTCAGCCACAAGGCCAAATCTTGTCTAGAGCTGGGTCCATGTCATTGCCAGCTGCAAATACATGTACATCAGCATGTGTTGAAAACTGAATCACACCATGAAAACATGAACACAACTACTTTCTGATTTTGAAGGTAGAAAAATGAGGTGTAGAACGCTCTACTTACCGGCATTTATGCACAAAACATCTGGATCATTCACTCCATCAACAGCTAAAAGATTACATACAACCTACAAGTACAAGACCAAATTACCAATTACTAAACACATGTTATAACTGTCAGCAGCAATGCTTTAGAGTTAAACATCCTTTTTACTCCACTTATCCACTTCAGGTCCTAGTATCAATGATAGATTTCTGTGTTCATTTTAAAACTGCTGATTTCTGACGAACTATTTTACTTGATATCTCTTGGTCCATACCGGAGACCTTCCTGAAACTGCCAAAAATCCAACATATACTGTACATGTATTTGCTTTTCACCCTTTGTACTTAACTAAAATCTAAAATCAATGGAAGGTTTAGATGATGGTTGATTTTGTTGATTACACTGTAGGTTAAAGAGACAAACACATAAGTACCAATGCTACAAAAGTTTTTTATCCTCAAGTTTGAAAGCTGCATGTAATTTACCTGTGTTTCATAGAAGTAACCCTTTGGGAACAATGGTCGTATTGATCTGTCTGTAATATAAAACAAATTCAATATACATGTACATATGCAATATTATGTAAGGGACGGCGACCATTTAGACCCAGTTTGAAAAGGGCCCCCCCGGTAGCCCACCCTGTATAAAGCCTGCCCGGTATCCAGCCTACTCCAGGCCAGTATAAGGCCTGTCTGCACATTGGCATTTCAAAGTCCCTGATGAAAGGCTTCCCCCAACATGCTTGCACAGATGAATAGGGGTATGAGCAGATTAGTGTAAACATTGTATAGAGCTGAAGGATTAAAAACCACAAGAAGGTTCCTTCTGGGATAGATTACATGTACCAGTACTTGCAAACAATAGACCCCAGGATGAAGAAGTTCGAGATCAACAACCAGTCCAGCATCCCAGGCCGGTAGCCAGGCCGGTATGAAAGGGTTTTTTGCAACCGGGTGAGCTTACCGGGGGGCCCTTTTCAAACCGGGTCTAAATGGTCGCCGGCCCTAAGTATTAGTGCAATGTCACAGCAGGCAACTTTTTATGTTTTAGCAAAATTCAACAACCTTGCACAAATGGGCAACTTTTCCTTGAGTGTAAGGAATTCTTGCAAGGAAACATTCTTTGCATTCTAACATAAATAACAAGTAGAACAACATGTGACACAAACCAATCATACGACTTCTAAGGATCTCCAGGTCTGTGTTTCCCATCTCTCGCCTCAGGTGATTGGTGGGAATTCTACCAGCAGCTGCAGCTTTCTGCCTGTAATCTACCTGCATGTGAGGGCAATAATCAACACAAACATCATCATCAGCACTGTCGTTGTCTCTGCCTTATCTATGCACGTTATTCTGCTGCAACTCAATTTCAATGCCACGTGTCTTGACCAACCTGTACATGTGGGTCTACACTGAAATTTATTTGTGGCCCAACTGACACGTACATGTACATATAAGAAAGTGAGTTCCAACCAATCAGAGCTGCTTTTTAGTTAGATGCCAAGCAGCCTTGAAAATAAAATCTTGCACAATGTAAATCAATAGAACTCTCATGGGCACAACATTTCAATCCGAATGCCACACTGAATAGGTCTTTGCAAATTAACATCTTTACTCACTGTCAAAGGGAGAAAATTGGTTGAAGTTGGATTTTTCCTACCAACAGCTGTGACAAGGACTGATGTATCACCAAGCTACATGTACAGAAAAGAAGCACCACTCATCAAATATGAAACACTGGAGCTATAATACAAGATGGGCATAGCAAATCATTGAGCAAGGAAATGAAGACTAAAAAGTTAGATGGTACCTGGTACATGTACAATGAGCTTGAACACAGGCTCCAAAATGGCATGCTTAAATGTGGGGACTCATTCAGCGGAGCAAAAAGCAAAGTTTTATCATTATTTCAAGCTGGTATCGGTTAGGTTTCTTCATGGCTCACACAGGCTACCTACATGTAGTGCAAAAAGCTATAAAATCTGTCAGTGATGTGCGAAAACCAAAAGAATTCCCAAACTACTGTTTTAAGATACTGAATTTACAATGTAACAGAGACTTTACAGTGACAAAGTACCATGTGAAAACAATTCAAATTTTACAAGTACATGTACATGCACGGTGTGCCTTGCACAGAAACAATACCTGAGCAATTGCACATCCATCAGCAAACCTCGCCAACTTTCCCGTCGACAAGTGAATTGTTCTAAATGAAAAAAGAAAGTTCAGAGTAAAAGGCTGACTGGTGTGAATGTATTAATGTTTAACGTACATTTACCGTAATTTTCGGGATATTAGCCATAAAAATATATAAGCTGCATAAACGGG